TCTTTAATAATCTCTGAGACTCAGCCCATGGATTAGTCAACCTATGATATTTAATTTCTTCTTGACCTCCTAGGAGTCCTTGAGCCCCGCAAATTTATACATGTATCTGAGAGGTTCTGTGATCCAAGGTTTAGGCTTTTTCAAAAATCACTTTTAAGTCCTCACACCTAGAAGGGTTCAGCAAGATGGCAGCAGAGTGAAGACTCAGAACTGACCTCCTTCAGATACTACAACTAAATGGCAATAAAACAAAGCCAAAAACCCTGAGAGGAAAATCACATCACACACCAGGCGCAAAAGCCTGGAGTAAAGAATAGGAAAACCTTTAGGAACTTTGTGATAGTGGGGCAGTACAACTACAGAGGGTGTAGGGGAAGCTGCTATGCAGAGCCCAGGTCAGCACTGACTTGAAGACTCCCCTCACTGCACTATATAAGGGGGTTTATGAACTGGCACCTAGGATAGAGGGTGCAGTGCTAGAGAACTGCAGGGGTGGAGGGATAGAGTGAGGATCACTGGCTTGAGCCTGAGGATTTCAATATGGAACAGCTGGAACCTGAATCATCAGGGAGAAGCCGACCAGAGTGCCTAGGTCTCCTTCCAAGAGGTCACTAGGAGAAACCCAGCGTGAGCTATTCAAAACACCTGCCATCCTCTCACCTCCGAGATCTAAAACAAAAAGAAATGCTTAAGTATGCTTGAGTAAGCTAGAACTCAAGCACCTGCCAGTTGCTGGTGCAAACACCCCAGGATAATGATCAATAGGAAAAAAGTTAAAAAAGAAAGAGAGCACCCTGGCTGTGACCCCATCTTAAATACAATCTGTGCCCAGCTCTACATCTAATACTTAAAATAGCCTAGAGTGGAAGTGGACCTAAGACTAGAAGACTAAGACCACAGAGCTGGCCTAGGAAGGGGTATCACTGTGGGTCCCCACCACACAGCTCTAGCACCCACAGTACAGAATGAAGTTTGCACTCCTGTATTTACTGGAGGGGTTCTTTTGGTGTCCTGTCCTGGTGTTCTTTTATACCTACTACCCCCTTGCCAGTGCCAGTCCTCAGCTTACTTGAACAGGTGCAAAGACAACAGTTTGAAAATCTATGCCTATTACAATACATAAAATATTTAAAACGAGGCAGGAGGCCATACCACAAATGCTGGTACAACAACAAAGAGGACCCCTGAGAGGTGACCCAGCCCAGCAGGGCTGCAGAACATGACAGAAGAGGAGTTCAAGGTAACAGGTCTAACGATGTTTATGAAGTGCAAAAAAAAAAAGGGATATAAAACATCAGAATAAAGATAAAGAAAATAAAAGATAGTTAACAATTAGAAATTAGAAACACTAAAGCTGATTTTAGTCCTCACACATAGGCCTGTACTGCTATTCTCCATGTTCTTACAGAGGCCATAGAGAAAGGCTGCAAAGGGGACCCACACCAGTTATCTAAGTGCTATGAACTCAAGCTTTCTCTCCATAATCCCCAGGTGTCTGAAAACAGCAGCAGAAAATAGAAGAGCTCGTTCAGGCAGTGATTTTGGAGAATCTCCTCCCATCCACATAAAACCATAACAGAGAGCTACTGCCCTTTTCTGTGAATGCTCATATGAAATGGGAGTCTCAGTTTGGTTTATATAAAAAAGGCCTGATTTCTCCCAGTGTTCACCAACCCTGACACAGAAAAGATATTATCTGCATCTGAGATGAAAAGTGTTAGTAAGGATTAATGTTCTTAATTCATTACAACCTGTTTGAAACAAGGTGCTGGCTTCCATTTTCCTCTCAAACTATGCTTAAACAAGTTAAGGGACTCCAGGAGATTCAGTTACACTGCTGAATTCTCTGATGCACAATAGTTTGATAATAAAGTGGAATCTTGGCTAAATTGCTTTCAGACTCTCTGAACACAAAAGGAAAAAATTCTCTAAATTTTTTTCTTTGAGATTTGTCCTTACATAACAGAAGGACCTTAAATGTTACAGCCACCAAAGCCGGAAAAAGTTGTGTTCCTTTGAGTAAACAATGATTTTACATGAACACTTTCAGTAAGGTAGTGCAAGACCTGCAAACTCCATAGCTAAATCCTGGGACTCCTATTATAATAAGTCTTTTCTAACTGGTTTGGATGGAATGGGATCCTTATTTGTTCCCATAGTAACTGTTATTATATGTTTGCTTTTTTTGATCTTTAACATTTGTCTCCTGAGTTAATTAGTTCTCTCTAGCTTCAAAAGGCTGGAGACATTAAAACTTCAGATGATTATGGCCCAAGGATAAAAACAATTGGGATTATAACCTGGTAACAACCAGACATATCTCTAGTTAAGAAAAGATTCTGCTCCCCAATGGGCCATATCTCCAACTATATTCGGCAGGAAGAAGTACCAGAAGATGGATCTCTGTCTATTGCCCCTCAAGAATGAGGAACAGGATATGGACAATGTCACACGGTCCAGTAACATTAAGCTCCTTTTTTGTTTTACCCATGGTATTCTCTTTTAACGAAGCCCTGGTCCTTGCTCTGTTACTGAAGACAAAACTATAGAAAGCCAGGCAAAGTGATTGAGACCAAGATGGAGACAGAAGACAAGGGGTAAGCCACAACCTTACTACCATAGTCAAAAGCATGCCCACCAGACCCAGTCATTGGTCTAGGGCAAATCTGGAAAAAAAGGATTATGAATACAATTCTAGAAACCCCCTGTCCCAAGACTTATCTAAAATCCGGCTGACAAAGGCTCTTTAGCCTCTCCTCCTTCTTAGCATTCTCCCATATAAGTTCCTGCTTCCTAGCTCAGGGAGAAATTTAGAACATGAGCTCCATTCTCCATTTCCTTGGTCAATGAATACAACCTACTTAAATCTCTAAACTGCTTAAATTCCTTTTTTAAAAAAGATTTATTTATGCATGCATGCAGAACTGGGGTACAGGTCAGAGGTGCAGGGGCGGTGAGAGGCTTCACCAGGGACAGAGCAGGGAGCAGAACAAGCAGGTTGACTAAAGTACACTGCTGAAGGGAGCAGTGGACAAGACAATAGAAGTCTGCCAGGCCTTGTGGGTCATCACCCCAGCCCGGGATCCAACCAGTGCTGCAGCAGCAGCGGCTAGCTCTTAGTGCTGCACTTTAACTCGTTGCTCCACCAGAGGACTGCCAGTAAACTGCTTAAATTTCTACTGGAGTGTGGTTCCAGGGTTTGCTCAGATGTTAGATGGGTAAAATAACTCAACTGATTGAGAACAAAAGCACACTTTAAATGAGAATATAGATTAAATAATAACACCTATATATAATTACATATAGAATTAATGTAGAAATAATACCAATAGCTAATATTCCATGCTTTTATATGCCGGGAATGTTAAAAAGCAAATTATATGGATTAACTCACTTGTTCCATAACAAATAAGACTAATCCTCTACCAGTAGGAAGCAGCCTGGCAGAGCTGCCCAACTCCAGTGCATGTTCTTACTAGTAAGTGTTTGCATTCAGCATTTTAACTGTAAGTAACCATATAAACATCTTCATCTTACAGGTGAGGAAATGAGAGTGAAAGATTAAATAACATGCCTAAAATCATCTAATGGGTAAATGACAAATTTTAAAGTTTATGTCATACCTTCCCTGAGTGTTTACACCAGGGAGAGACCCGTGCACAATGATTTTCCAAATATGGTCTTCAGAGTTGTAAGCAGTTGGGGTGTTTATTTAATGGTGGAGGTCAGAGAGGTAGACCCTGAATCACTCATCACTGTATGGGTACATAGTTAACATTTGTAGAGTACTTCCTATGCCAGGCACCAGTTTAAGCATCTTAACTACACTCGGTTCCAACAACAATCCTGTGAAATATTTACTATTAGTATGCCTATTTGAAAGATCTATTTATTTGTGCATACAGAACTGGGGTGCAGGCCAGAGGTGCAAGGGTGGTGAGAGGCTTCACCAGAGACAGAGTGGGGAGCAGAGCAGGCAGAATGATGAAGTACACTGCTAGGGGAGCAACGGGCGGGTCAGGAGAGGTCTGCTGCGCCACGTGGGTCACCTCGGGTGCTGGAGATGGAATTCATGCTGAAGTGGATTTAGCTTATTAGTGCTGTGCTTTAACCCACTGTGCCACCAGGGAGGGCCCTATTATGCCTATCATCAAGGGTGGGAAGCTGACATAAAAAGTCTTTGTCATGGTCACATCACCATTAAGTGGTGTAATGATACTAGAATTCCCTGAGCCCCTTGTTTTTAAAGACTACCTGAATAAAGTTTCCTTACCTAATAAAATGCTACTACTCCTGTTCAAGTTTGAGGGAATATGCTTAAGGAAATGAAAACAGTTTCCTAAGATAACACACTCAGTTAGACAAGAGAAAAGCACTGGTACTTGAATCTTTGTCAGCTGTTCTCAAAACCCCCGAGGCAGTGCTCTTTAGCAAGCAAAGTTCCAGCTGGGGCCCACTTAGTCCACCTGTCTCTGCCTCCGTCTCTGTAGGATGCTGGACTTGGCTGGGAGCTAGAAGGAGAGGAAAGACCAACCCAGCCTGCGCATTAGCAGGAGCAAGTGGGTCCACTGAACCATAAACTGGATCATGAAAAGCCTCTTCGTGGTGGCATGGCTCCATCTCGAGTTTAGGGACGGGACAGTGGGTGCTATTACCAGTGTTCCGCAAAGGCGGCTCTGACAGCCAGGACCTACTTCCCCCAACCCCTCCCCGCCCTACCGGCTGCTCATTTCTCCGAATCTTTAGCCCTGTTCCTTTGCAAGTATCCTAAAATCACCTAGAACAGTCCTTCTACCAATATTTTAATTTCGGCTCAAAACCGAAGTGCAAATCCCTCCGCTCCCAAGAGGGGCGGTGCTGAGCTGCGCCTGAATCTTCCTGGCCAATCAGGAAGCACGTCCTCCCGCGGTCACCTTTCCCGCCCCGCCCCGCACATCTCTATGGAAACGCTCGGACTGTCTACTCGGAGCCCCGGGGCTTCCGTTTCAGTCTAGCGGGGCTGTGGCCATTGTTTGTGTAGACTGAGTGCTTTGGCTGGCCGAGGCCGGCACCTCGGAGGCTTCGTAAGTGACGCGGACTCCCTGGGGCACCGAGCCAGGAGCGAACTGGGGCTGGGAGAGCTGTGGCTGAAGGAAAAGCGGCAGAAAGGGAGGGTCAGGGGCTGAGAAGCAGCTCAGACTTAGAAATGCCGGAGACTCCAGGGTAGGTGGGTTCTTTACGCCTGCCCTGCCCCTATTAAAACCGAGAAAGGACAGATGACCCTTGGGTCCCGAGGCCCGGGCTCCTGGGGTTGGAAGGTGTTGCGGCGAGGCTTGGGTGGCGGGGCTGGACTGGAAATAGAGGCCGCGCGCGACTTTGCTGCAGGAGCAGAGGCCGCGCAGATCCGCCTCCCCGAAAGGGAGCAGATCCCCTGGGCCACTTGCTCCTTGGAATGCGGGGCATAAGTTCCGGCAGTCCTTGGGGTACGGGGAGCCCAAACCTGTTGTCATGGGACATTGCGAGGCCGTCTTTTTCTCTCCTGGGATAGAGGGCTCTTAATAGCTTATCACTTTACCCGGAGGGACTTGTGATCAGTATGGCCAGACCTGGGTGGTAAAGGCTCAGGCCCCCATTTTACAGATGAGGAGAGTGAGGTTTGTGGAGGTCCAGAAGTTTTTCAAAATTTTACAGGAGTTGGTGACAGAACTGAGACTATGATGAGGTTCTCAGAGCCTAGTACCTCCGTAAGACTCGAGGTACTATAATAGTAAATCCATTATTTCTGTCGTTAATGGGTAGGGAAGGAAAATGAAATTAAGCAAAATAAAAAGCATGTTTTAAGAATGGAAAGAAACTAGGTGTTCTGTTATTTCCATTCTTGTTACTGTTAATAAATGAGGAAAACCTTGACTCCGGTTAAATTACCTACAGATCATCTGCATCCCCGGAACATGATTGTAAGATCAGATTGTAAAACCCTGTTGAACGGGGATCTTCAAGATTCCATGTTATACGCAAACTTGACTGGTATCTTTGAAATTTCTTAAGAGGATCAGAAATAAAATCCAGGATGCCAATCCTCATAAATCTTTCATTTGGACTTTAAAAAATATATATTTGGGGTCCCATTTAGGAGGTTTGCAAGTGTAATGAGTTGGGAATTTCAGGGCATGCTCTGTCTTTCATTCCTCTTTTCTTCTCCTTCAGCTTATTCACCTCAACACTCAACCTTGCCCTCAGAAAAGGAAGGAATGTTCGCTATTTTCCTCATAGTCTGAGTCCAGGTAAGATTGTCTTTTCTCATTTATAAATAAACTTCCTGGAATTTTCCATAGATAGTAGGGGCAATGGAAGAGGCTATGATGATGGCTGGAGCAGACTCTGCAGAAAATGCTCCTCATTGCGAAGCATCCAAAGCCTCCTCACTAACTAGCCCTGTCTTCCACTCAATGTGTTTTCCCAATACTTAACTCATTATTCATTCATTCGTTCCTTCATTCATGTGTCTTACAATATGTAAACTGTTCTTGGTGCTCTGAGATAAAGAAATATAAGGTTACCTTTCCTTAACATGGGGGAAATAAACCATATGATGGTAACAACTTCTAAACTTTTACATATTAAACAATGACAAGATGAATGGCACTTAAAAGACAGAAAGAACTTAGATTATTATAAATGGGAAGACAACATTCTTAACAAGAAGAACATCATTTAGTCTGAGGCAGAATTTGAGGGAGTAAACTGGGCTAGCTGCAGTAGAGCAGAAGTATAACTGCATAAGGTGAGGCCACAATGTAGAGGGCTATTTGATATTGCCATTAGGATGTGTTGACTTATCTTAGTATACTTAAGTTTGTTTATTTAATATACAGGCATTAATCCATTCATTGTATACATGCATATACATACACATGTACTAATATATACACATGGTTTTATATAAGACACATATAAACTAGTGTTTATAAAAAAATTTGAATCATAACAAATAAATAGGCCCCTTGAGGGCAGAGAATGTTCCCAGTATACAGAAACTGTGCCTTGCATGTATTAAGCACTCAGTGAATATTTGTTGGAAGTATGAATGGCAGTTACATGAATATTTTTTTCATTTGACATATAATGTTTTATGTTTTTCCAAAATTTAGTAACTATATAATGTTCCACTCCAGGTGTATTACATGCTTTATTTAAATTTTCTTTTATTGAGAAAAATTTAACAGTAACTTTTTTAAAAAGATATAGTTTTATTGATTTATGCATATAAGAACGGGAGTCTAGACCAGAAATTGGGGGGATTGGATTGAGAGGATTCACCAGAGAAAGAGTGGGGAGCAGAACAGGCAGATCTACTGAAATACACTGCTGGGGAGAGCAGCGGGCAGGTCAGGAGTAGAATGCTGTGTGCAGTAGCCTTATTGCACAGGCTGTTATAGGGGTTATATTGATAGGGGTTAGTGTGAAACCTAATCCCTGCACCATCAGGGCCGGCCCCCTTACTAACAGCATCTAATAAACTTTCTTATATATAATTTCTTAAGTCTGTCTCTATTTATTTTTTTAAGTAATACTCTGGATAACAGAGGCAAAGGATAAGGATTTTTTAAAAAAAAAAAAAAGATTTATTCATTTGTACATACAGAACTGGGGTACAGGCCAGAGGCTCAGGGGCGGTGAGAGGCTTCACCAGAGGCAGAGTGGGGAGCAGAACAGGCAGATCGAATTAGTACACTGCTGAGGGGAGCAGCGGGCAGGTCAGGAGATGTCTGCCACGGCATGTGGTCACCTCCGGGGCAGGCTGGGATCGAACTCATGCAGAAGTGGCTTTAGCTTCTCAATGCAGTGCTTTAACCCACTGCGCCACCAGGGAGGGCCGGATAAGAATATATTTTAACTTTTCAAGACAAGTTCATTTTTAGAAGTATTACATGAACTAATTTATGTAACCATTTGATCAAAGAACCTACTTTGTTAAACCTTTACCAGAAAAGGGTATTATTTTTAAAATTATGCATTGAATTACATCCCGTTGTCTTTAGTTAGGTTAACCACTTTTTACATGTAGTTCTGATAAATTGCCTCTTGACACATACTACCTTTTTCCTACCTGTTTTGGTTTCTACTTGATAAAGTACTGTTTGTATATAAACCTCATAAACCATTTGTTTTATACTTTAAATGTCTCCTAGTTTGTCATTTTCCTTTTACTTTTAAAAACTTAGTTTAAGTTTTACATTTGCATGAAGTTAAATTATTTTTATTTATACTTTGAAAGCTCTTATCTCTAAATCTAATACATACTTTTATTTTTCTCAATTATTTTCTTATAGTTTCAAGTATTTTAAATATTTAACTCTTCAACCTATTATATCATTATTTTGGTGTGAAAAAAATGACAGGAGCACTTAACCATTCTTATTCTTAGCACTTTCTTAGTTTTCCAGCAACATTTATTTTATTTATTTGTTACCTTTTTATGTACCAAATTACTGAATTTTTCACACATAAGCACAGCTAACTCTTTGAGTTATCTTATTTTCTGGACCCATTTCTCAGTTCTTTATCAGAATATTTAATCTTGTTATACTGTAAATGTTGTGCACTTCATAGGCAATAAAATGGATTTAGCCTTCTCTTTAGTGATTAAGGATAAGGGAAATAGTTAATGCATGGGGAATGTTCCAGGGATTAACATTATAATGATCTCCACTTTGGAAAACAGAAAATAAAAGTTACTTGCCATAAGTTTTAGATGTTAACTATATTAATCTTTCAATATATTTTATTAGTATAGCATATTAGTCAAAACATAGGCTCTTACCCCATTACCTGTGCTTATTTCTTGCCACTACCACTTGTTTCTAGTGAAGTGGATTGATTTACTGAACCAAATTAGGAAACAGCTCTTAGAGGGTTGTTAAGAAGGTTAAACAAGATTATCCATGTAAAAAACCTAGCACAATGCTTGACAAAACTTACTAACAACTGAATGCTGTTATATTAATTATTTAAATATAATCAAAGAACTTTTTCTAGTCACAAAGACATAAGAATTGAAGAAGGGAACTAGCTTAATGTTCCCCCTAAATGGCTATTTGTTACAGCACCATTAATTAAATAAGCCATCCTCCCCCCTCAAATTTGATGTCACCTTTATCATGTTTAGAACTCACTGCTATACTTGGATTCATTTCTAGTCTTTCCCATCCATCTTTATTCCTGTATTAACCCCAGGATTTATAGAGAACTTATTAATATTTTAGTATGCCTTTGACTAAGTCTTTCCTCATTTTCCCTTTTTTACAATTCATTTTTTACCAAAACACTTGAAAATTGACTTTGCCAGTATCCTTAAACTTGTTTATTATCTTCAAGTACATTAAATATATAGATAGAGGCCCTCCCTGGTGGCACAGCCAGTTAAGATGCAGCACTGCAAGCTAGCCGCACCCACTGCAGTGGGTGATCCACATGGCGTGGCAGACCTCTCCTGACTCACTCTCTGCTCCCCTCAGCAGTGTACTTCGTCGAACTGCCTGTTCTGCTCCCCACTCTGTCTCTAGTGAATCCTCTCACTACCCCTGCACCTCTGGCCTGTACCCCAGTTCTGTATGAGTAAGTAAATAAATCTAAAATATATATAGATAGATATGTTTAGTATTCAGATTACTTAATCTTGCTAAATACTGTTTTTCTCACTTATTTAATCTGATAATAATACCTTATAGGATTGTTATTTTAGTAAATGAGGTAGAATAGTCCTGTTCACATAATTTTTTGATATTAGCTGTTGCTGTTTATGTTAAGATGGTGATCATGATATTCTAGTTTTCCTTTCATTTTGTTGTAAACTCCTTAAGAGCATGTTTCCCATATTCTTAGTGTTTCCTGAACATTTTAATTGAATTTTAGAAGTGAGAGTGTGTTATCAAAGAAATAAAATGAATTTGTCATTTTATATCTGTTCTTTCCTAAAAGAAATATTTTTAAGCAAGTTGAATACATGTATTGGTCTCATTTTCTAAAATTTCATGATGATAAACTAAAAACTGATGAGCTTGCACTGATGAAATTTAGTAAATAAGAAATTTCCACAAAAAGTTGGAAGGCATGAAGGCATAGTGGCAATAATCCAATAGAGCTAAAGGCATGACATTATAGAATGTTCAACAAAGGAACACAAACAAGTAAGGAAATGATGAGCCCTATGATCCAGAATAGCTGAGGATACATTCATTCCTTTTATTCTTCTCAATGCAGGCAAGGATACCAGTAGACAACTGTCTCTCTGTATAGGAGGTTACATTTATTTTTCAGAGGTGGCTGAACATTCCATGAAAAATCTGGCATTCAAATCATCTGTATTTCTGGTTACAAGTATTATCAGATATGTTAGTAAAATCTTTAACTTTAAAGTCAACTTTAAAGAGACAAACCAGAGCCCTCCCTGGTGGCACAGCGGATTAAAGCACAGCGCTGAGAATCTAAAGCCGCTTCCACATGAGTTCGATTCCCACCTGCCCCGGAGGTGACCACATGG